TTTTCTCTTGTATCATGAAAGTTATTTTTTAATATTACATCACCCGACAAATTTTATGCATGCTTGTGAGTCCATTATGTAATTTTTTTGTTCAATTTTGATATTGATGTATTTCTCTTTCCCTTTCTCCCCTATGTATGCACACACATTGGCAACACGTATAGAATAATTTAGGGATATCCCCTTTATTTACTTTCATTAGGATTGTGGATAAAACCTGTCAAAACATAAGTGATATAATTAGCAATCCTTAATAGTTACGCTACATCATAGCATTCTTATAGGTATAATAATATAACTCGAACTTATTACGATGTACATGTTTGTTACAACACATTAAGTTAATATAAACATAAGTTGGTAATCCCACATACTCGGTATTTATACCACTCGTGTAAATTTGAAATAAAGGAAACAACATAGGGTGAGCATCAACAACTCCGTAAGAAATCTCAATTCTAAGGCACACAGGTTCGAAAATAAGTACTTTGATATGATTGATATTATAAAGTACATTCATATCTAATAATGTGAAAACGTTAAACAAAAAATAGTTTATGTACGAAAACGATAAAGCCATACCATTAAAGTGTCAAACTAGAGAAAAAATATTCTAATAGACCACTCAGGGTCAATACGACCCATACAATCCAACCTTTTAGGAGTCTTACACTCTAAAAAAGAGACGCTCCCAGATAACAATTCGCCCTCAAGTCCGAAGACCAACTAGGTCGCACTTGCATTTACAAACTCAATGAAATCCTCTACGTTTTCAACTTGAAACGTAAACCCTCTNACGTACAACGTATGATACTTTTTTCGATATGTGCTATGGTGGGGGTAAACTTAGTTGATATTTTGTTTTGAGTCATAGTTCACTTTGTAATTTTTATTGAGATCGCTTCACCACTGTATAGATTTATATATAAATATACATTCATATACANTTGTGTGCACTTATATTTAATAGAAAAGGATCCTGACTTCTCTCAATCATTGAACAATTGAAACGATTGTCCAATGCACATTTTCAAACCTTAACTGATCCAGAGTTCCAATTCAATACGAACCACCTGATCATAAGTTGACAAACATGTTAAACAACATTTATAACATAAATGATATATTTGTAAAGAGAACGAAAAATGTCGCCTATTTCAAAATTGAAAAACTTTATCTCGATTTGCGTATCGTTAAAAAATTGTAAAAAATAGAATAATGAAAGCTATCAATGAAATTCCACACACAACTCTATTTTAACTAATTAAATACGAGTATAAAATTAGTTTGTTCAAACAACCCCAACATAGGGTCAAACTGAGACTTGAAGTGCAAAATAGTTATCTTACGTGAGATATTAACTGAACCGTCAGATCAGGAATTGGAGACCACAGGGGGATTCCTTGGGGAGATAGNGCATAGAGTCAAACTGGGACTTGAAGCGCAAAATAGTTATCTTACGTGAGATATTAACTGAAGCGTCAGATCAGGAATTGGAGACCACAGGGGGATTCCTTGGGGAGATAGGAGACAAGCCCCACCAACTAGATGTGGATCAACCACCCCTGCCCTCGTGCGTCGTAGGGGTAGGTTGTCTTCTCCCCCTTTCTTCTTCTGAATTCTTCTTCTTCGTTCTTTTTCCTTTTCAGCTAAGTACCCAACTTCTCTCCTCTTGTTCTCCCTCCATGGTACAACAAATCTACTCCTTGCCAATGCCAATCTCCTCCCTGTGTATCCTACTTTCAAATCCATACCCTTTTTGGACTGAATCTCCATATGGTGATCTAATATTCCGGTTAATATCTCAGTAAGATAACCATTTTGCCCTTCAGGTCCTAGTTTGACCAAACTAATTGTATACTCATGTTTAATTAGTTAAAATAGAGTTGTNATGGTGATCCAATGTTTCGGTTAATATCTCAGTAAGATAACCATTTTGCCCTTCAGTTCCTAGTTTGACCAAACTAATTGTATACTCATGTTTAATTAGTTAAAATAGAGTTGTCTGTGAAATTTCATTGATAGCTTTCATTGTTCTATTTTTTATTATTTTTGAACGACACACAAATCGAGATATAGTTTTTCAATTCTGAAATTGGCGAGATTTTTCGTTCTGTTTACAAATATATCATTTATGTTATAAATATTGTTTAACATGTTTGTGAACTCATGATCAGTTAGTTTGTATTGAATTAGAACTTTGGACCAGTTAGGGTTTTGAAATGTGCATTGGATAATCGTTTGAATTGTTCAATGATTGAGAGAACCCAGGATCCTTTTCTATTAAATATAAGTGCACACAGGATCAAGTGGCAGAGGGTTTACGTTTCAAGTTGAAACCGTAGAGGGTTTCATTGAGTTCGTAAATGCAAATGCAACCTAGTTGGTCTTCGGACTTGAGGGCGAATTGTGATTTGGGAGCGTATCTTTTTTAGGGTGTAAGACTCCTAAAAGGTTGGATTGTACGGTTTGTATCGACCCTGAGTGGTCTATTAGCATATTTTTTCTCTGGTTTGACACTATAATGGTATGACTTTATCGTTTTCGTACATAAACTATTTTTTGTTTAATATTTTCACATTATTAGCTATGAATGTACTTTATACTATCAATCATATCAAAGTACTTATTTTCGAACCTGTGTGCCTTAGAATTGAGATTTCTTACAGAGCTGTTGATGCTCACCCTATGTTGTTTCCTTTTTTTCAAATTTACACGAGTGGTATAAATACCGAGTATGTCGGATTACCAACTTATGTTTATATTAACGTGTTGTAACAAACATGTACATTGTAATAAGTTCGAGTTATATTATTATACCTATAAGAATGCTATGATGTAGCGTAACTATTAAGGATTGCTAATTATATCACTTATGTTTTGATAGGTTTTATCTACAATCCTAATGAAAGTAAATAAAGGGGATATCCCTAAATTATTTTATACGTGTTGCCAATGTGTGTGCATACATAGGGGAGAAAGGGAAAGAGAAATACATCAATATCAAAATTGAACAAAAAAACTGCATAATGGACTCACAAGCATGCATAAAATTTGTCGGGTGATGTAATATTAAAAAATAACTTTCATGATACAAGAGAAAAGGGAAAAATGGAAATCAAACTGGTTACTTTTCAGCAACAAAAACTTTCACATAATCAATATCCCTTAATAGTAAACATCTATTCACATGTATTAAAATTCAAGCCACCTTCTCACATTAACATTACCAAAAGAAGTAAATCTACTGAATTCAAAAATGAACTTCGCAAATACATTATTGAAACTAAAGACTTTTATAAAATTATGAAAAACTAACCCAAAAAATCAATACATGCTCTAATAGATGTATGTACATAACCAGAATAATACTAATATTAATATGAGTATTTCCCTTAGTTGTTCGTTTTGTTTTCAATTCAATGTCTATACATAATACAGATCAAGGAATAGACCTTAAGAAAATAATGTTGATAAAAATCATTTGTAGAGGTCAACAAAGATAAAAAATCGGTGTAGTGCAACAAAGCTATGGCCATGTGAAAAAGTCTAACCATTTAAACAAACCCAAACAAATTGACAATCATAAAAAAATGAGTATTAGCAAGAGGAAACATCCATCACACCACACCAAGACTCACCATCATGTTACATGTCTCATAAATTGGATTTACAAACAAAATATTAGCATTGATAGTAAGTATCGTATATATTCATCAGGTTCATATATTAAATCAAGTTACGATTTATGTCAGTTAAGTGCATGGATAAAATCAAATAATCTAATTGAATACATGATAATCAAATCAAATAGTATAATTAATATCAATTTTATCCACATAGCACGACTGAACCAGAG